GCAAATAAAATTGTTTTATACTGTAAGCTGGAGGCGAGTGTAACTTATTTTTGTAATAAAGTTTTTATTTTTTTTATGTGTCATTAATATAAATGTGTGTTAGTACAGAGATCTTCTGGTTAAAAACTTAGAATCGCACACATTTCAGTATGTTTACTTGTATTTACATAATTTTTAGAATAGTGGTTGCCAATAGCCTGTATGTTTCACATTAATTGATTTTTTTTTTTTGTTATCTTAATAAACCATTTTAGTATGTTGTATGTCAATTACTGGGATAGCTGGGACATGAAGTGTAATTTAAAATTGTCAAGTATTCATTGGAATATGTAAATGTGCCTTGCCAGTTCTGAACTTTAAGACAAAGTAAGTGAATGATGGCGAAATGAGTAGTCAATGCTAAGAGACATTTGCTACCACAGTTTCATATACTGCCCTTGCTAAAGAAAAGTAACTTTTTTCCTCAGATTTGAGCGTAAAAGTATACAATTGCGTTAGCTTCTAAATTTTCAAATCTAGTGATAGAATACTAGGCTTATGGAAAGTGGGTTTGCTAATTGTAGCCTTAAGTATAATTTTGAATTTCAATGTAATCCTTGGTGCTGGCATTCCCAGTGCCAAGGAGTTTAAATGCTCCCTTCAAAGAGGTTGCCATGCCTACTGGCACTTTTACTGTCATATGGTTTTATAAGGAACACTGTCAAGATGTGGAAACCAATTTTGAACTTGGTATAAAATGAAAATGCTGGGGGCTGTAGGAGAGGGGAAGTCCTCAGATTTCTTAATCTTGAAATCTCTCCATTGCTGAAAAACTGAAAACACTTGTGGGATCACAAGTGCTAGTGACTAGTTCTTAGTCTGGAAATATGCCAGGGGGGATAATATATTTATGGAATTATAACAGTTGATGGAAGTGCGTAAAAACATTGCTATTGAGGCACTACATGTGTTGAAATTGTGGATCATATCCTTAATTTCAGCTCTGATAAAAGCATGGGGGGGGACTACTGTTAAAAAAACGTTTTGGAAAAAAAAAAAAAAGGCAAAATTGACAGGAAAGTGTTTTTAAGGGAATGCAAGCAATGGTGAGTGAGCAAAATATCGGGATCTTGACAGTGTTCCCTCTAATGATGAACTCAAGCCATTATAACTTTTAAAATTAAATATGATTTGCACTGTTCTGATATTGGTGCAGTTTTTTAGCAAAATAATCAGAAAACTAAATTGCATGTGGTGATTAATATTGTGGGGGAAAAAAACGAATCAAAAAAATGTTATTTTCAAAGCTTTAAATTTGTGTAAAGAAAAACAGTCATTAAGTGGAAATACTGGTGAGAATGGGCGAGTGCATATATACAACATCAGTTTGGTTGCACTTGGGTGTTGGTAAACTTGAAATGTTCTACAGCAATAATGCATTTGGTACAGGGTGCTTTGGTGACAAATGGACATAAACCACACAGTTCTTTTTGGCATGTTGAACGCAAGTGTTAATGTATTACGCTGCCTCTGTTTATTCTCCTAGGAGGCTTTCTTCACTGAAACACCTGCGAAGGTTTGAGTATAAGCTAGCGTAGTTCCACATTGGTTTGTAATGTGTTCCTAAATTTGAAGCCTAGTTGAATTTAATTAGAAATTGGAAACTACTGTTGCTGCTTAACACTTCTGGTTTATAAACACTCCAATACATAGCTTTTTAAAGTATGCTTCTGTTTAAATACTCGTTTTTGTTTGAAAGGTTTCATATAGGACATACAACTGTACTTTTTTTTTTTTTTTCCAGTTTTTAAAGAGGAGATTTGTTACAGCCCGGAGCTTAAGTTTGTGTTTTTAGTGTTTGGAGGAAGGCTGTTACTACAGATACTAAGACCAGTTTCTGAATTTCTGCATTGTACAACTTACCTAAATACTGTCTTAAAATCTTAAATAAGGAATACTAATTCTGTTCTTGTTTGGAGTGAGGGATATGACATAATCTAAAATAAACTTAGCCTCCTCTGAAGGTAGGATTCCCAACTTAATATTTCAGGATAGAAATGTTATATATGGCTGCAACTTTTTTTTTTTTCTCCTGTGCCTTTGATAATTCTTGAGAGGCTTAACTTTTCTGTTCAGCCTAGCAGTTATTTCGATGCTTCCATACATCAGTGAGGGGAGAGGGGTTTTTTTAAGAAATAAAACTGAAAGGCAACATGGACATAAACATGTGTAACATTTTCTGAAAAGACTGTTCAATTTGATACATTCCACTAAATTAAGACTGTTATTCCCTCACCTGTATTAGTGAAAACTTAGTGGGAAATGTTAATTGTTTAAAATGGAATAGCAAGTTTTGGAAGTAGGCAATAAACTTTACAACAATAGTGTTCTGAGAATTGAAATTGGTCAAGTTGGAGCTTGAGTTCGTTTTCATAGCCTGAAGTTTATGAATCCCAGCTTTCACTGGCTGTGGTGGACTTAAAAGTCTGTCTTTGCCGAGTGTCTTGCTGAATTAATTCCAGCATCAGCACATGACATCTCTTGGCTGGAGCTAGCTAGCTGCATTAGTTGGGCAGAGGAAACACCAGATTGTACTTTGTCATTTGCTCTGTCAGATAAAAATGGTATGTGGCAATAGGAGGGGAAGTCGAGCTGAAGATTCCTCGATCCTTAATATGGGTAGTGGGGGGAGAAGGAATAAATTGTTACTTTACAGCCGTCTAGTGCAAACAAACACAAAGCTTCCTAGAAGCTCTGATGTGAAACTTTTTTTTGGGAGACCAACTTTCACATAGTCATCTGGTTAACACTTTGCAAGTGTTTAATTATACTTGTGTTATAAAATCCACAGCATGAAAGAGTGACTTGACTTGACTTTGACTTTGCCTCGATTGTTACAATAGATAGATAGGTTGAAAAGTTCCATAAGGAGTAGCTTGTTAGTTTACTTGGAATTTGGAGAGCGGGGTGATTGTCTCATGTAATGATATCTTTTTCTTGCCAGCTGGTTACTGTTTTTTTCCACAAACATGCATATTTTTGAATGGCCAGCTCTTGAGTGGATGTTGCACAGCTGAGCTCATCCAGAAACATTGGGTTACATCGATTATTTAAAGCTATCTTCATGAAAGCTTCTTTAGATGGTCAGAAAAAGAATCTGTGTCAGTCTAGAAAACACAGTTGTAGTATGTAGGTAATTGGTAATTGATAATTAAATACAGCTTGCATATTTAAAGTTTGAATCACAAGATGCATTTCGGCTCCAAGAGCCGTTTCATTCCTGAATGTTCATGAAACTTAGTGTCTCCTCCAAAGCCAACACTTAGTTTCTGATGGTCATTTAGGTAAAACTTGCAGTGTCAGAAATCTGGATTCCCTCTAGTCTGATATATTTGACTGATTAACAGTGACAGTTCACTATCTCTGTTTGCACAGCTAGTGTGGCAGTATGTTTTTACATGTTTTTGTCACTAATGTGTAGAGAAGACGTTGAATCTTACTGCTCATTTTCTTTGCGCGAAGGAAGTTATAAAATGCACTGTTAGTTCTGCTACACAGCCAGTAGAATAGCCTATGCCTTTTGACTGCACAGAAGATAATGGTAAGTAAAAATAGACATTCTAGTACTTTAATGACTTGTAGTACCTAAAATCCAACTTCAGTAGACTGTTTAGTTGACTCTTCATCTGAAGTTATTACGGAGGTTGTGTGTTTAAACTCTTCAGTTTTAGCATGTCCACTTCAGTGCTAAACGAATGTTGAGTATAAATCTATGGAGTGTAATCTTATACTGCTTAATGTTCACTACTTCAGGAGAAAAAAATTCTGAAATGCTTCATAGATCACTGAGTGTGTATTTTTGCAGTGATGTGTTAGCTATCGTAGTAGTTCAAGGGATTTTTCATAAATACAGTCAGTCTTTGAAAGCCGGGAGCTGAATGTATCAGGTACTGGGTTCCTGGTTTCAAGTGTTTCCAGTATTGTTCTGCTATCTAAAGTAACATTTTCAGATATTATTTTTTTTTCCTCTTAAGTGGAATGAAGAATGCACCTAATTCTGTCACTAGCAGTGGTTGTTTAAAAACTCTATTACTAAACGTAGCTAATTTGGGAGTATAAAGCTTCCTCTGTGAGAATTCAACAAAAGCAATTTTATACGTATCCCATTAGTAAATCAGGGCTTTTCTTAAGGTGCAATTTCCCCATACTTAAGAATGAAGCTTTGTATTGGAAAACACTGGTGAGAGCTAGTCTAAAGTAAATTATAATTAATATTTTCATAATGCAGATGTATCACAACTGGAAGGTGAACTTAGTCTTTAATACTATGGCATTTGAGATGACAGATAAAAATATTTAGTCCCTGCATCTGGAAAAGCTGAAGTGGCTATTAAAGGACTGTTCCTGTTTCAGATTGTGGCCAAAGGCTTCCATCGGATAGTGCAATGAAACCTTTTTTTCTTCCAGCACAAACAGTTGTCCTAACAAGCTAACCCATTTCCAGTCCACAGTTTTCAACATAATTCTTGAATTTTGTACCTGTGCTTAAATTGATATTTTTAGCAGAAGACAAACCTCCAGTGGCAATCACTGGTGTATCTGTGAGTAGTATTTTAACCACGAAGTGACCAATATGTAACTTTGACTTAAACTAGGGTAGTGAAACTGTCCTGTATTCATATTACCTACACTTTTACAGAAG